TTTAGTAGAGGTGGGGTTTCACCGGGTTCGCCAGGATGGTCTTGATCTCCTGACCTTGTGATCTACCTGCCTCATGATCTACCTGCCTCAGCCTCCCAAAGTGCTGGGATTACAGGCGTGAGCCACTGCACCTGGCCTATTTTGGTATTATTTTTAAGCTGCTCCACGCAGAGCAGGGCTATGCTACAGGCAGCGTGGTCCAGAGTAGCCTTGGTTTTTTTGTTTTTTTTTTTTTTTGAGACGGAGTCTCGCTCTGTCGCCCAGGCCGGAGTGCAGCGGCCAGATCTCAGCTCACTGCAAGCTCCGCCTCCCGGGTTCACGCCATCCTCCTGCCTCAGCCTCCCGAGTAGCCGGGACTACAGGCTCCCGCCACTTCACCCGGCTAGTTTTTTGTATTTTTAGTAGAGACGGGGTTTCACCGTGTTAGCCAGGATGGTCTCGATCTCCTAACCTCATGATCCACCCGTCTCGGCCTCCCAAAGTGCTAGGATTACAGGCTTGAGCCACCGCGCCCGGCCAAGATTTTATTTTTTAATACAGGCGTTTGCAGCCAAAATTTCCTTGGAAGTTCTGCTTTTGCTGTATCCCGTACGCGCCTGTGTTTTTGTTCTCATCACCTCAGAGGGTTTTCTATTTTTTCTTGTACCATTTTCTTTGACCCATTTGTTATTTAGGAGCAGGTTGGTTAATTTTCACATATTTGTGAATCTCCTAATTTCCTTTTCATTATTATTATTATTTTTTTAAAAAACAGAGTCTCACTCTGTCTCCCAGGCTGGAGTGCATTGGCCCGATCTTGGCTCACTGCAAGCTCCGCCTCCCGGGTTCACGCCATTCTCCTGCCTCAGCCTTCCAAGTAGCTGGGACTACAGGCGCCGCCACCTCGCCCGGCTAATTTTTTTTGTATTTTTAGTAGAGATGGGTTGCACCGTGTTAGCCAGGATGGTCTCGATCTCCTGACCTCATGATCCGCCCGCCTCAGCCTCCCAAAGTGCTGGAATTACAGGCGTGAGCCATCGCGCCCAGTTTTTTTTTTTTAGACCGAGTTTCACTCTTATCACCCAGGCTGGAGTGCAATGGTGTAATCTTGGCTCACCGTAACCCCCATCTCCTGGGTTTAAGTGATTCTTGTGCCTCAGCCTCCTGAGTAGCTGGGATTACAGACGCCTGGCTAATTTTTGTATTTTTAGTAGAGACAGGGTTTCACCATGCTTGGCCAGGCTGGTCTCAAACTGCTGACCTCAGATGACACGACCACCTCCGCCTCCCAAAGTGCTGGGATTACAGGAATGAGCCACTGCACCCAGCCAGTTCTTCTTTAAATGTTTGGTAGAATTCAGGAGGTTTTTGATTACTGACAAGGCTGGAGTGCAGTGGCACCATCACAGCTCACTGTAGCCTCAACTTCATGGGCTGAAGCCATCCTCCTGCCTCAGCCTTCTGAGTAGCTAGGATTTCATGTACACACCACTGTGCCTAATTATCAAATTATTTTTTTGGTAAAGATAGGGTCTTGCTAAATTGCCCAGGTTGTGTTCAGGTGATCCTCCCATCTCAGCCTTGCAAAGTGCTGGGATTATAAGCATGAACCACCATGCCTAGCCTCTTTTTCAATTATTATTTTATTATTTTTAAAATTTTTTGTGGGTACATATGAGGTATATTTATGGGGTACCTGGGATGTTTTGATACAGGCGTGTAGTGTGACAGGCACACATCACAGAGAATGGGTGTCCCCCCCTCAAGCATGTATACTCATTTTAGTATTATTATT